CGGGCGACCTCTCGACGCCTGGCGCGGCTGCGCGCCGAGCCAGCATCCGCGAATGCGCAGCTGCGATCGCTTCTGTCTCCGTCGCTTCTGACGTGGCTGCTGCGTTCCCGTGCCCAGGGTGCAACTGCGAGCCTGGCGAGCCCCGTAGTTTTACCTTCGCAGCTCCGCGAGCGCCCAGTCGGTTGCGAGCGTTGCCGGCGGCGGGGCCCCGCGCGACCCCTCGCGGCGGGTGGCGCCGCGAGGTCAGCGTTGGGGCCGAGCGGTGCGGCGGGCTTGGCAGGCTCCGTGGTTTCACTCTCGCGGCTCTGCCAGCCGCGCGCAGTCGGCCGCGTGCGTCGGCAGGGCCCCGCGCGAACCTTCGGGGCGGGGGGCGCCGCCCCTCGCCTGGCGCTTGGGGGGCTCTTTGAGACTGGCGCGGAACGCAGGGCCAGCGACTCTTGAATCGGCCGCTCGGAACTCCCCCCGCTCAGAGGCCATCGCCGCTCTCCATGTGGCGAGTCCCGGTCTTGAACCGACACCCTCTGGTGGGCGCTTCCACGGCGGGGGGCCCTTTCTTGCCCGCGGGCCCCTCCGCCCATCCCTCCGCCGCGGCGGGGTGGGGGTTTAGGGCGGGAGGGGCGCCCCAACTGCGGAAGGCTTGTTGAGCATGAGCAGGGGGTCGTGGCTGCGCCCTCTCGGCCCCGCCTGCAGCGACGCTCAGGCGCGCCTCCAGCATCGTCTTGACCCCTGCGCTGCGGTCGGCGCCCCCGCGGCGGGGGCCTCCTTCCTGCATTTGGGCCCCCATCCTTCCGCCGCGGGCGGGGGTGGGGGCCAGGGGCAGGAGGTGCGCCCCGACCGCGAAGGACCCAGCGGGGGGTTGGGCATGGCTTCGAGACCGCGCCCCCGGGGCGGGCGCTGCGAGCGCCCCAGGGCCCGGTCCAAGGGGCGAGCCTAGAAACTTTCGGGGTTTCACTCTCGCGTTTACGCGAACCGTGCCAAGTCCTTGCCACGCGGCCGGCCCTGTGTGCTGGTCGATCGGAATAATCCCCCGTTCAGGGGCCGTCGACAGCTCGCCACCTTGGGTCGTGTCCCTGGCGGGGTTCGGCGGCGGGCCCCGGGCAAAGGAGGGCTCCGAGCGGCAGCGCGGCGCGCCTCGAGGATCGTCTTGAACCCTCACTCTCTGGTGGGCGCCCCCGCGGCGGGGCCCCCTATTCCTGCCCGTGGACCTCCATCCTTCCACCACTGTGGGGTGGGAATCCAAGGCGGGGGGGGGTCCCAATGATGGGTGCCCTTGGGAGGTTGGGCAGGGCTTTGCGCCCTTGCGGCCTTGCCTGCTCCGTCACCTCGGCGTGCCCGCGGGGTCGTCTTGAACCGCTACTTTCCGGTGGGCGCCGCCATAGCGGGGGCTGCCGTCCTGCCCATGGCCCCCCCCCAGACGCTGCGAACGATCGGGGCCCCTCCGACCTCGCCTTGCTCCACTTTCCCGCTTCTCATGGCGCCGCCGTCTCCACCTGCGCCGCGCCGCGGCAGCGAGGGCGCGGTCTTGAAACCTCACCCATTCTCCACAAGGTTTTCCTCGGTTGAGGGTTGAGGCACCCCTCCCGCCCTGGACCCCCGCCCCCGCCCGCGGCAGAAGGACGGGGTGGCCCGGGATCCGCCTCCTCACTTCTGGCGCTCTTCCCCGTAAGTGTCTTACTCGCATCGCAAGGGGTGGCATCAAGTTCCTGGAGTGGCAAGGTCGCCTCGCGCACAAGATCCCCGGAACCGTCACCCGTAGAATAGGCATCTCCGTCATCTCCTGCTCCCTTGTTTCCGCCATCGCACCGTTGTAGGGTTCATCGAGGATGCGCCCCCTTGTGCCAACGCGTAAGTGTATCCCCTTCTCTGCCTGACGTCTGTGGCCATGGCTCAGGCGCTCGGCCGATTCTGAGAAAACCACCCAATGTCCAAGGGCATCAAGATCCTGGGAGCGGCAGGGGCCCTTCGCGCAGGGTACCCGGAACCGCAACCCGTAACAGAAGCATACCCGTCATCTCCATTTTCTTTTGATGGCAATTAGGGGTCATCGGGGATACTCCTTGAAGCCTTTGTACATTTTGCCCAGAAGCGGACATCGGCCCAGGTACTTCTATTAATTGGGAAAGTGTCCCCGGTGCAATGCTGGGGGTGGCTCGTCGCATTTGTCTTGACTAGTATCGAGGGATGGTTGGGCCAGCGAGTTTTTGTCTGAGTATGTCCCGAACGAAACGTTGGCTTGGGCACTTTCTATCGATAAAGCACAGGGTCAAGTACACATGTCCATTTTTTGCGGCTGTCTCGAGCGAGACACTTGTTTTGCAGAATGTGTCGGGGATGTGTTAGCGGAGCGTCTGTTTTGTCCTATAGATTGCTCCGGTCCTCAGGGCCAGAATGCGAAGGATGTCTCCGGCGAAACGCTAGTTTTCACGTGCCCAGGTCGCCGAGGGGGTATCTAACATGGTTGTCCCCAGATGGAACCTGTGCTTTCACGTGTCCAGGCCACCCAGAGGGGATATCGAAGATGGTGGTCTGGAGCTTGAGCCACGTGTTTACGCGTCCCGTCGTTGTCGTCATCAGCGTTTCGGCCCGCCCCTCTTCGATGCAATTCGCCTCGGTTTGGATTGGCTCTTTTAATTTCGCCATTGCGGAACATAATCCTTCCATAAGGTCTCGACTGCAATCAGTTCTGGGCGAGCAATGTGCCCAGGCAGCTCGAGTTTGAGGCCGAGCTGCTCGAGCGCCCCGCGCATGTCGATCGTGGCCAGATTTGAGTTATGCGGTCTGGCAGCTCGAGCTTAAAATCCAGATCATGTCGATCGGGATTATGAAGCCACGGACGACCTGATCCACAATAGAATAGAGCACAACACTTCTACGCAGCATGCCGCGTTTCCGTTCACCAATGTACAGCATAGCACAGCCCTTGGCACTGTACATCACCATCGCTACCTTGAGCATGGAGTAACTGCCCTTCGTTCGAATTTGGTGTCTTGAACCATTTCCATGGGCGTGGGGCTTGCGAGGGGTGCTTGCGAGAAGCTCGGGGTGTCCATTGGTTGGCGTCTTCCGCTGGTACAACACATTTCAAGGTGATGCTGTTCTAACGCACCCTGCATCAAATAATTCACATGTCGTAGGTGGCGCACTGGCATTTACTCACATCGCAAGAACAAGTACAGGCTCCACATGTCTATATCATCCGTAAGGGCTTCGCCCCCTGCCGCCGGCCCCCTCTCTCGGAGAATGGGCCATGGAAGAGCTAAGTCATGAGGCCTTGGCGCTGTCGTGAAGCAGTATCGAAACTTCATGCGAAGCCGATTCGCAATCAGCAAAACCAACTGATCACAAGAGGGGTTACCACACCTGGCGATTGGTAAGACGTGTATGGTTTACGGGCTTGGTTACCACACCTTGCGATTAAAGGGCCGAGGGAGTTCTCGCAGTTTGGGTTACCACGCCTTGCGATGGATGTGCGTGAAGGGTGGCACCGAATTTCAGAAATGTGGCAAATCCCCTGTGTTTTTGGACCCTGACCCCGCGGATCTGCGTAAGGGGTGGCGCCGAATTTCAGAAATGTGGCAAATCCCCTGTGTTTTTGGACCCTGACCCCGCGGATCTGCGTGAGGGGTGGCACCGAATTTCAGAAATGTGGCAAATCCCTTGTGTTTTTGGACCCTGACCCCGCGGATCTGCGTGAGGGGTGGCACCGAATTTCAGAAATGTGGCAAATCCCTTGTGTTTTTGGACCCTGACCCCGCGGATCTGCGTGAGGGGTGGCACCGAATTTCAGAAATGTGCAAATCCCGTGTGTTTTTGGACCCTGACCCCGCGGATCTGCGTGAGGGGTGGCACCGAATTTCAGAAATGTGGCAAATCCCATGTGTTTTTGGACCCTGACCCCGCGGATCTGCGTGAGGGGTGGCACCGAATTTCAGAAATGTGGCAAATCCCTTGTGTTTTTGGACCCTGACCCCGCGGATCTGCGTGAGGGGTGGCACCGAATTTCAGAAATGTGGCAAATCCCTTGTGTTTTTGGACCCTGACCCCGCGGATCTGCGTGAGGGGTGGCACCGAATTTCAGAAATGTGGCAAATCCCATGTGTTTTTGGACCCTGACCCCGCGGATCTGCGTGAGGGGTGTCGATTTCGAGCCCCCCCAGCAATTCAGACAACGCGCCCAGGGGGTGCTAAAAATATGGTTTGGGCCTCCCCCCCTCGCGCGGTCAATCAACTAGTTACAGTAACCAGCAGTAAGTCAACTAGTTACAGTAACCAGCAAGAAGCAGAACTGTAACACTGGAAACTACAAGCTACAACTGGTACAGGAAACTGCGAACCTCGCTCCTACAGCCTGGTGGCCCCACAAGGGGGCCGGCGGATTTTCTGGGTTCGTGGGTCGATCATGTTAAAACGAGCGTGGGCGGCGCCATACGAGTACCACAGTTTGAGAATGACTTGTGCCCCATCATTGGAATTGTTGCACATGTTACCCTTCAGGATCATGAGTGGCGAGGAAGTCTCAGGCGAAACGCGTTGTCCGGCCTACCGACACGTCTGGGGGTGCGACTTGGATGAGCTGTTTCTAAGAGATTCTTTTTTGGCGGCGTCTCCCCAGCCCGCCGCCTCCTGTTGCTGACGGAAGAGCCCCCGACCCGGCGTGCTCCCACCCGCCGGGCCGCCTCGTCGGAGCCTCGGACGCTCCTCCTGGGGCCCCGCCCGAGGCCGCCGAGGGCCGCCAGGATTACTTCAGCCACCTCGGCGGCCTTAGGAGGCCTTCGGAGGCCTTCACGCAGCCACGCCGCGGAGGCCGTCGGCGTCCTTTGGAGGCCTTTGTCGGCCTTCGGCGGCCCTCGGTGGCCTCTCGGAGGCCTTCGCCGGCAGCGGCCCGCCGCATTTCGCGCCGCAGCTCCTGGTGCCCTCCCCCGCCCGTGCCCAGGGGCGCTCCGCACAGGGGCCCGCGCCGGCGGCCATGCCGGCGCGCCGGGGGGCCGGGCGATGGCGAGGCGCGGCGAGCCGGTGCTGAAGTGGAGCGGGCGGTGGGGGCAGTGGGAGCAGGCGCGCCGCCCTGGGCTGTCTCTTCCTGGGCGTGCGCGGCTGTTCGGAGGCTGCCAGGAACGCGTCCTGGCCCGAGGTGCCCCCAGCGTGTCGTGCCATTTTGGAGTCCCTGGGGCTCGCTTGTCGTCGTGCTGGTTGCTCTGGAGACCCCCTGGGCCTCCCGAGAGAAGCTGGGGCCATCTTGGGCCAAGGCCACCTCTGTCAGCACCTAGTCCTTCTGGTCCTCCTGCTGCTGCTGCTGCTCCTCTTCTAGGCTTTCGGAGAGCCCTCTCGTCGCGAAGGGTGGGCCCGCCTTGAAATTCTTGTCAGGACGCGCTCCAGGAGCTCAGCTGGGGCAAAGGCAAGAGATAGCGAGCGTTTGTCCGCGGCCGTTTGTGTCCAAGCGGCCGGCCCCCAAGATATGATTGTGCTTCAGCGTGGCGCACTACTTGCCATCGAGACCGAAAACATATTTGCTTGAGATGGCCCGTCGCTCACGCGACGATCTTTTACTTTTGGGACTATCGTTACTATGGTACAACAGAGTTGGATATGGGCTTCGTCTTAGGCGAAGCTGCTGGTTGGGCCTCCCATCCCCTTGCAGACTTGGTAGCGGGTCTGGCCTATGGTGGTCAGCTCTTGCTTTACTCCTCACCATCCACGGCGCAATATGGTGGGCTACTGACATGGTGAAACATCACGGTGCAGCGGGTCTACGTGGAGGAATGTATTTACTTACGCACAACGGCAAGGACTCTTGCAGCTCTACATCCGTTCTCGCGGAGGCCTCTTACAAGAGTCTTACTTCCCTGTGCTACTACACTCCTGAAGTCCATCCTCCTACTTCCATTTGACCTGTTTTTTCGAAAGCGCCATGCATGGCAACATGCGATACGACATTGTGCCGCCTCCACCCCCACGCAGGCTTACGACAAAACACCACAGCCCCCAGCCACGAATGTCCGACCACGGCGAACGGCAACTCGGGCGGGCGCCCCGCCCGCCCCCTTCACCATTTGCGAAACTGTCGCTACTTTCGAAGGCTGGTGGCGGGTCCAGCGTAGTGAGGCACCGCGCAGATATGAGCGGGACCTCGCAATCCGTTGGCGGCTGCGAGCCTCACGGATGCCGCTCGCAGAACTATATGCGCCCATGTCACGTCATCACCTTGGTATAACGTCTCCCAAGCTACTCATGCCCCGCATTGCGCAGGGGTTGGGTACGTCGCCAGGGTAATTGTTTACCAGGGGTCGCGGCTGTGTGAGCGCGGACGCCGCGTAATTTACATGGGGTCCTTGCCCTGGGAGCGTAGACGCATCGCAATTTACGATGGACCGTGGCCCTGGAGGGGCGGACACAGCGTAATGTACGATTGATCCTGGCCTTGGAAGCGCGCACGCATCGAGATTTACGGGTGATCGTTGCACTGGGGGGGGGCGGATGCAGCGGAATTCATACGGGATCGTTGCCCTGGGAGCGCGGTCACAGCGCAATTTATGAGGGATCGTGTCCTTGGTGGGGGCGGGCGCACCGTAATTTTCGAGGGATTGTTGCACAGGGAGCGCGGGCGCAGCATCATTTGCGAGGGATCGTGGCCCCAGGAGTGCGCAAGCACACAAATCTACAAGCGACCGTGGCCCCGGGAGTGCGGGCGCCGTGCAATTTACGATTGAACGCGGCCCTGTGAGCGCGAGTCCATTTCAATTTGTAAGGGATCTTTGCCCTGGGAACGCGAACCCAGCGTTATGTACGAGGGACCGCAGCCTTGAAGGCGCGGACACAGCGTAATTTACGAGGGTTCGCGTCTCCAGATCCAGCTCAGAATTTCGAGGAAACGGCGGGGGTGCCGAAACGCGCCCTCCGAATACATATGCCAATGGCAGAAACAAGTGTTTTTTGCTCTGGGGAGAGGGGGGCTCTTTGGGGCAACCTCCGCGGAGTGTTTCGTGGAATTTGCAAGGGGTCGTGGCCCTGGGAGCGCCGACGCAGCGACATGTTCGAGGGTGCGTGGATCTGGGAGCGCGGACGCAGCGTTATTTACGAGGGATTGTAAGGGATCTTGTCCCTGTGAGCGCGAATCCAGGGTACTTCATGAGGTATCGTCATCGTGGCCCTGGGAGCGTGACTCCTGCGTAATTTACCAAGGGACGCGGCCCTGGGAGCGCGACTCCAGTGCAATTTTCGAAAGGATCTTAGCCCTGGCTTAATTTACGAGGGATCGTGGCCCTCGGGCACGTTCCCTGGCACGTTTCCTGGCGCCTCCCCTGGGCACGTCGCGCGGCGCGTCCCCTGGCACGTCTGCTGGCACGTTCTGTGGCGCGTCCCCCTTGCGGTGGCGTGTCCCATGGCACGTCCTCCTGGCGCGTCCCCTGGCACGTCCCCTGGCACGTCCACTGGAACGGTCCGTGGCGCGTCCCTTGGCACGTCACTTGTGCGGCGCGGCACAGCGCAGAGAAGCACAACACAGCCCCTGACACGGTAGCATCACCATTGATATCATCAGCGCATTGCCACTGCCCATTGCCCAATTGAGGTGCTTGGAAACGTTCCCAGGCCTCACAGTTCTAAATCCCGTTCCCGGGTTCGTGGGTCGATCATGTTCCTCCGCCCTCCCTCTTCTGTCCCGTGTCCTGTGTTCTCTGTTCTCTGTCCACTGTCCTCTGTTCTCCCTCCTCCCTCCTGCCCTGCATCCTTGTTCCGTCCTCCCCGCTCCATCCCACCTCCCCCCTGCTCCCTCCCCCACTCTCCCTCCGTCCCTCCCGCCCTTCTCCCTCCTCCGTCCTCCCACCCTAGTCTCGCCCTCCGCCCTCGCCCCTCCTCCCCCTTCCTTCGGTGTTCCTTCGTCTTTCCTCCTCTCTACTCCCTGGTCCGTCCTCCCTCCTCGCGCCTCGCTCCTCCTTCCGCCCATCCCTGGTGCAACCCAGCATGCGTGAAGTGATGGCGCGCAACCGCGGCCGCGAGCGCGCAACCGCGGCATGGCCGCGAGCGGCCGCGTGACGAGCAGGGTGCACAGGCCTCCTGCCTACGGACTCGGCTGCTCGTCGGAAACGCGTTTTCCTCATCCCCGGTTGGTGCGTTGTGCCCTCCCTTCGTCCTCTCTCCCTCCTCCTTTCCTCTCCTCCCCCTCCCCGCTCGTCTCCTTCCCCAGTCGTAGTTCTCGCCAGTGTCCACTCCCCCGCCAGGGTCCTGGGCCTCTGGGATCTGTGCTTGGAGGGATGAGGGCATTAGACGTGGCTAACCCCAACCCCAGTCCGGGTGTCCCCAGCAGTGCCACTGGAGAGGTATGGCCGAGTGCTGCGGTGTTTGAGTTCTCTTGATTGTGCTCGGGTCGGCCATCCTCTGAGCCATCAGGTTTTTGGGGGGGCCGGGGTGCACACCCTCCCCAAGGTCATCACGCCGCGGAGGTGGTTGGGGCTCCGGATCCTTCCTCCGTGGGAGCGTCGGCTGGAGCGTCAGTGTCAGCCGGGGGCTCCAGCTGGGGTGTCGGTGTCAGCCTCGGTTCCTGGGGGGGGGTAGGTCGGCGACTCGTTTGGTCAACGCGCGTCCGTGTCTGAGCCGTGTGTGGCGGGTGTTGTGGCTTGCGTTCCTATGGGGACCCTACGCTTCCTGCTTCAGGTCAATTCGGTGCCAGTTTCGGGCGTTGTGGCATCGGGCTCATCAGCGGATCCAGTACAGAAGGCGTCTCGTATCAAACAGTGCCGTGCCATACACAGCCTCTGGGTGGTTGTTGATGTGCCAGGCGGCGATCCTACGAAGTCCGTCCGCCAGGGCGGCTAACTACGGGTCTACTGATCTGTCGGCGATTCTATTGTTCCGCGAGCCGACCTGTCGCCTTGAGCGTCAGGAAAACCGCCCCCAAGCCCATGCAGCCGGGGCATTGTGTGGTTTCGGTCCTCGTCCCTGCCCCACAATCATACGAGCTTCTGTTTTCGTGCTCGAGTGTCACATAAGATTAGTTGGTGGCCCGTGTGCACAGTTGACACGTAGACATCGTGAAGTGTGCGTTTCGGTGGTGGTGGTAGGGCTGGTTTTTGTGTTTCGTGGCCGACGTGTTTGTGGCTGTGGCGTGTATGTGCCCATGTTGATGTACGCCTCATATTAGATCCCAGGTTCCGCCCGGGCTCTCCCTGAGGGCCCTGCCGTCGTTCGCGGCGTACAAGCAGGAGGCGGAGGCGGAGGCGGAGGCGGGAGCCATTTCCGACCACGGCCGTCGACCACCGCGCGCGCTGGGCTGCGGGGCGACCAGCCAGGCGATTCAGAACGGCGAGCGCCCGCACGGTGACCCCCGCCCCCTTCGGCTCCTTCGGCGGCGGGCGCTCCGTGGAGCAGTTTGACCCTTCGCGTTTCTGACCGCTTCGCTCGCGGATCCTTGGCGCGACGGATTCGCCTCATGTGCTGTTGCCATCACCGCCGTAGCACGTACGTCTCGGCGTATGGTGCAGCACGGCGGAAGTACCCTGCGGCCTGTTGCAGTTGCCATCTGCTTCTCCACGCACGGGTCTCCGCGGAGGTATTGTGCGAGCGCCCTGGAAACGCTCGGCCGTTGGAGCCAATGTCGTCTCCGACGAGTACTTGCAGGAGGCCCTTGTGGCTCTCCGCGTTGTTGGAACGACTGCCCCGTCCACAATTTGTGCGCCCGCGGTTGCCTATGCCCCGCGCGGCGCTTGTGCGCCCAACACGGTGGCGGCGAAGTTTGACTTTGCTGTTTCACAATCAGCCGTAAACGTTGTTTTTCGAGGCAGGTCGTTTCGTTCTGATCACGTCGGTACCGCTCTCCGTGGCTGCTTGCGGGCTGACCACCGTCCGTTTCTGTGATTGTGCGGAGTGCGCGGCGCCACGCCGTCGCTTGTGGGGTCGTGGGTCGGTCCCGTACTCGCACGCTGGGCGACAAACGCCTTCGCAGTTCACACCAACGCCGTCGCCGCGAGGTGACTTCCTGCGGCATGGGCGTTTCAAGTTCACTTTTACGCTGCGTGTCGGGGGCAGCGCTTCCTCGCCAGTCGCGCCTGCAGAACAATTCCAACTCCCCGCGGTGTGCGGCGGTGTCTTCAATGATCTATGGCTTTGGGGCTCACTCTGCCAGCTGGCTTGAGTAAACCACGACCATGTTGAAGCACTCGTGTCTGACCGTGCCACGTAGAAGGGGAACTCCGTTTACGCATGCTATAAAATTCTCGTTGGCGTGGCTTTCAGTACACTTGGTAGATCGTGAGGCCTCCCTCCTCCGTCTTCCGTCCGCCGTTTCCCGTCGTCTCTCCTCCCTCCTCCCTTCTCACTTGCTTCTTCTTCCTCCACTCTTATCCCTTCTTCTCTCGCCCTCCTTCATCATCCGTCGTCCCTCGTAAACCAGTTCGTTCCTCGTCCCTCGTCTCTTCACCCTCCTCCCTCCCCCTTCTCATTCGCATCTCTTCCCTCCCTCCATCCCATCTCCCTCTGATGTGATCCCTGTGCCCATCCCCCTTTTGCCTTCTCTCTTCCACACCCACCCCTCTTATTTCTCTCGCGCCATCCATCAGTGCCAGGATGCCGTGTATGTTTTCGCCGCCGTGGTAGCTGACATAGAGGTGCACGGCGACCGCAGCCTTGCCCAGAGAGCGCTCGACGAGATTAGCCAGGAGATCCGCAGTGAGCTCCCGCAAGGACCCCGCGCAGCACAGCTCGCAGCGCACGCGCGCGGCAGGGCGCGCGGCAAGGTATGCAAAGCACGGCGCGCATTGCGTGCCACGCTCTTCTCTGCACATTGCTTTGGCACGGCATGTACGGCATGGCACACACGGCACGGCAATGTACGCACGACACAGCATGACACTGCGTGCGTGGAAGCGCACGCGCAGATGGCGCAGCCTGCGTGGTACGGTACGCGCGGCGCCTTTGGAGCAGAAGGGCAAGGCGCGTTTGAGCTTCCGCGACGGCTCCCAAGCAGCAGCTTAGTTGAGCGCATGGTTGAGCTTAGTTGAATTGAGCATCGGGGCGACCCAGACTACTGCGCCACCGCTTCCCGCAGCGCAGCGCGTCTTCGGCCAGTCAGCAGCTACTGGAAAACAACACGCACCATTGAGCTGGCTGGGTATCGGTGTAGGGATGCACTCTGCGCGCCAGCTCGCGAGCTCGTTTCTTGACGGCCCCCCGGCCCAGAAATACCCCCCTGGGGGTCAGAACTGTCAGAAAACTTCCGTCGTGATTTTTCCTGGATTTTTTTGTTCAGTGGGTAAACTTGTCCTTGGCTTTCAAATTGCGTAGCGTTACCGAACTTCTATCGCGATAAACTGCGAGGTCGCGTAGGGCGGGCGCACTAAACGAGGTCGCGTAGGGCCGGCGATGGGTTCTTCGATAAGACGGCAGGCACGGGCGCTCCCGTCGCGCTTGCCGCGGGCCCCGCCGCCGGCAACTTGCCTCCGGTGCCCCGGGCTGGAGGTGGGGGAGGCTGGCTTGGGGACGACGACGACGACGACGACGACGACGACGTCGACAACGACGACGATGAGGACGAGGACGAGGCCTTTAAAGCGTCTTCGAGGCCTCGCGGTCCGTCTGGACATCATCTTGGTCTTTCACGGGGCGCTCCGGGACCGTCTTGGAATTTTTCTTGGTCCGTGGAAGTGAGCTCTTAGGCGCTGTCGGAGCGTTCTGGGGTTGCCATGGTGCCTTTGGGAGGGGCTCTTGGACGTTGCAGGGGCTTCTGGCACCGTCCAAAAAGAGGGGTGTTGGCGTGGTCTGGCCACTGCGATAGCTACTGGACTACGTACGCCCTCAGCCATTCAAGAAATTCCTTGGGCAACACTTTGGGAAGAATGAGGGGGAGGGTCAGGAGAGGGATGACGAGGAGGAGGAGGAGGATGAGGAGGAGAAGGAGGAGGAGGAGGAGGAGGGCGAGGACGACGACGATGACCAGGACGAGGGCGAGGACGACAACGACGACGACGACGATGAGGAGGAGGAGGAGGAGGAGGAGGGGGAGGAGGAGGAGGAGGAGGGGGAGGAGGAGGAGGAGGCCCCCTGGGAGATTATTGTGGCACTCTTGGGGCCTCCTGGGAGCTTGCTGGGGGCCTCTTGGGGCCGTCTTGGGGGCCTTCTCGGGCTTCTTAGGGGCCTTTGGGGGGTTCTTGGGTACCGCTTTGGCCGTGTTAGGGCGTTCCTGGCCCTTCTGACGCCGTCGGAAGCCGTCTTGGGAGCCCTTGGGTTCCGATTGGGGCCCTCTTTGGGCGCCTCGGGCCGTCTTGTAGGCCATCTCGGGCGTCTTGGATGGCTCTTGGTCCGTCTTGGAGCCCTCTTGGGGCCGTCTGGGGGGCTTCTGCGGCCGTCATGGGGCCAGCTTGGAGGCCCTCTGGACGATGTGGGGGCGTCGGAAATGCGAAAAGAAGGACTGCAAACTCAAACCCGAAGGACATGACTGATGTTCGCCTCTTCGGGCGTTCCTGGACTTCTTAGAGGCCTCTTGGGGTCGTCTTAGGCCACCATAAGGCTATCTTTGGAGGTTTTGTGGGTGCATCTCGGCCCGGTTTGGAGACATCTTGCGGCTATCTTGGGCTCTCTTGGGGCCCCGAAGATGGTCGAAGAGGCTTGTTCAGGGCACTGAGCAGAGGGAATGGGGGCCTTTGGAGCCATCTCGGGGCTTTCACGGGGCTCGTGGGGTATTTTGGCGGCGCGGCCCAGCCATTGTGGATTTGCCGGGCGGATTTTCGGATGTCATTCTATATGTCATTATGACATGACCTATGCCTCAAATGTTCCCCAAGAGCGGGTGCGCGTGCAGAGGATCCTCTCTTCCTCCCTCCGCCTCTCCCTTGACCCTGACGTCCTCTACCTCACCCTTCGAAAGCGCATGGAGTCCTGGGGCCTCCCATTTTCGGAGATTGCCTGGGAGGCCCTCAGAGACCTGGTGCGAGATGGGGACCCCCCGCCTGGCAGAGTGCCGTGGTTAAGACAGCAGTAGGAGGCTGGCTCACCAGCCGCATATTGCACTCCTCGGTGTTGCGTCCACATCTTTTTGGTTGTGCAGGACGTGAGGACGACATGACTCACTACGTTGAATGCCCAGTACTGTGGAGGCTTGTATACCACCCTGACCCGCCTCCCCTCCGTCCCTCTACGCGTCTAGGGCTCGATTGCTTCCCGACGCCTGAGATCGTCGAGAGGATAGTGCTGGCATTCCATATGTACAATGTCTTGCGATCCGCCCCCGATCCAGGCGCCCTCCACAGTGAGATAGCTCTCAGGCGGCACCATTACAATATACAGAAAGTCGCCATGGCCCTTGTAGAGCACTCTAGAGCGCCCTTCTAGCCCTGTTGCGGGAGCTTCGTGGGCCCCTCTTGGGTACGAATGATATATATATATATATATATGTACACAAGATGTTAAGGCTCGCTGCGCTTCGCCTTCTAATCTTGATCCTTGCACCTACGATGTTTTTGGGCGCGGGCGAGAACACAATTGTTCCATGAGGTGTGTGGGAAATGTGCGAGCGGAGGCGAGGCGAGGCGAGTGCGCGGTAGCGCCCGGGCTCATTGGAGAGATGATGTGTCGACGGGGCTGTGCCGTCGCCGACGCTTGCAACCCAGGTAGCGTAGTCGACGTCGCGGTGTTGTCGGTGGTTCACCTGCAAAGCGTAAGTAGTGAAAAGCTCCCATGTAGCAGATTTCCGAACACTGTCGTTGACGATAGAGTCCCGCGTGCCTCCTTTCACCACAGGAGGAATCTGGCGGAAATCCCCATAGCAGACGAAAGCCTTGTTCTTCCAGATGGTAGTGTGGTGCTGTTGAATCTGGTCCAATAGTTTGAGGGCGCTCTCCCACGCAGGTCGTTTAGCATTTGGCCATTCATCCCATTGGAGCACAGACGCCGCGGCGAGGGTACGGGCACCTTGGGAGCCCATCGGCAGAGAACAAGTGAGGACGTCCTCGTCAGACACCGGAATCTTGCAGACAGAGTGCGCCGTGGCGCCGAAGGGCAATTGCAGGGCCGCGACTCCTGTCGTGGCCATGTTGACGACTCCCTGTCCACTCCCCAAAGCAGCGTAAGTGATGTAACTGGCGACGGTGGATTTGCCTATGCCAGCGGGGCCGTGGACGAAATAATACTTCTCGGCCCCGGAGCGGATGGGCGCGATTCTCGCTTTGACGGCGTCGGTCTGACTCGGATCCTTTGCAGGGGTCTTGTAGATGGTCTTCGCGCGGGATTGCGCTTCTTGCGGGAGAAATGGCGCCGCAGAGGTGTCTGATGCTGGGGATGGTTGAGACCGTGCAGGTTTGTCTTCTTCCAACGTGAACGATTTGCCAATGGACTGGCACGAGAGGCGCAAAGCGTCGCATGCAACTTTGCGGGCAGAATCGAGAGTGAGCCCGCGATCGCGGAAATCACCGAGGAGATGCTTCTCCAACTTGTTGCACAGCGTCACGGCGCACGCGTCCTGCTCGAGCAACGCGACGAAGGCGAACCGTAGTTGAGCGGCAGTGTATCGAAGCTCGACTAACTCCTGGAACACCGGCGCGGGTTCGTCAGCTGTCGCAAAATACCCGGTCGCCACAAGGGCTTGCTCATAAGTGGGGTACCTCCGGCCGGCGTGGGTTTTGCAGTCGGCGAAGCTTGGTTTTGGGTAGTTCAACAGTATGTGTCTGAGGTAGAACACCTCTCTCTGTCTGGGGTACTTCATTTCGAGCCTGCATATAGGATGTTTGCCCCGTTGCTTCTCGTAGACGAAGTGGGTCCGACCTGGGGGGGCAGCGTCGAGCACGGGCGCAGGGCCCCGTCCTGCGGGGGGGTCGCCGAAGGCGCCGCAGCCCGTGGAAAGAGGTCGGGAAAGCGGTGCTGCAAGGCTTGCGGGCAAGATTTGGCCACCATGAAGCGCTCGAAATATTCGTAGTACTTCGTGGAGAGGTACGGCTCGAACTTGGGCCGGTGGAAGTAGCGTTGCAAAAACGAAATAGACGATTGTACGGCGTCCTCTTCTTGTCCGGCGGCATAGGTGATCCAATCTTCGTCTTCGCAATGCACTGGTAGACAAATCACATGAGGGATGCGTTCGTACGTAGTGTATCCAAACATGCGCCACGCGCATTCCGTGGCACAAAGATAACGGCCACGCTGCCATTCTTTGATCTCGTCTTTGTTGCCAGTGTCCTCCTGGAGCTCGTACTTGACAAAGTCTGGTCCTTTGAACAGGGATTTGTAAAGGTATTGGAACAGGTTGACGGACCCTGCGAATTTGATCTTGGCGTGTCCGTCCCACAACAGGAGGATGGTGGGGTTGCATTCCACGATCAGCCGGTTGCAGCAGACAGATCGTTCGCCGTAAGATGCGGTCCCAGACGCGCAATTGGGGCAGTCACCGCCACAATGTCTGCGGCGGTGATGTGGGTACCCTCGCTCGTCAAAATACGTGTCGTCTTGGAAAGGCCACGGGCGCCCTTTGATGCACTCCTGCGATGGGTCGTCGGGGTGGCACGAATGGTTGCACGAGTGTATCATGCGTTGAAGGACGAGTGCGCGCACAGGACCGTCTGGTGGAAGGTCGCATGAGACGACGGTGTCCACGGCTTCGGGCGTAGTTGGCGGCGTTGTCAGGGCTATGGCAATGTGAGCACGGGGCAGCCCTCTGCGCTGATATTCAATGACCCTGCTGACGTACCTGCGGTCTCCAC